CCCTACATCTTTATTTTAAAAAACCTTTTTTTCATTTTTGTTGAAGAAAATTGAGCAGATAATTTTGCTGTAAAATTTTCCACATTCTGGATTTGGCTTATTTCACCCCCATGATATCATTTTACCATGATCGATGTATACTGATATTAGATCGAGAGGCTTGATCAGGTCAGGTTTAAGGTTTTTTATTGTTGTTGTTTTTTTATTTTTTTAATCTCCCCATAAGAACTTTCTATTGCCTCATATTCAAGAGGTACATAAATGTTTGGTTGCCTTTCTTTGTGATCTTATGATTGATTAGGTGATTTAGGTGTTATTAGCCTAATTCATCCATTATAAAATTCCCTATCATTTATTTTCCCAATGAGCTCAGCAGCCAGCATGATTGTATCCATCAATTTAGTCTTAGTTATATTGCAGTAACAAACCCCCAAAGTCACACCAGCTCACAACAACAAAGGTTTATCCTTCTTCATGCTGTGTCACCATTGAAGCCTGGCTTTTTGGCCTTGCTCCCTGTCATCTTCAATCTACTCCATGTTGTTTTTACCCTAGGACTCAGGCTAGTGGACCCTACAATGTGGTGGATATCCTGGCAGAAGGTAGTTTTCCCTATATGCTCTTTGACTTTGCTTCCCCTTTCCTCTCATTGCAGCAAATCCTCTGTGATGAATTTGAAAAATAGGACAGAAATATATTAAAATCCTATCACAGAATTGGCTGTAAGGGAGGCTCTGGGTGGCTCTCCTATGAATCAGGTGTATTCACTTTCATGGAATCTATTGAACAAGGCATAGATTATTTCAAGCATACAGAAATAGAGAATATCATAAACAACTGTGTTCTAGTCATCCAGCTAAGCCATATTTTAGTATTTTACCATATTTGTTTCAGATTTTTGGGGAAAGAAATTGTTTACAGATTGTGTAAACAATTTTCTCCTTCCTCATCTGATCAAAAGGCAGTAACCTTCATCCTTAATTTATTTGTTAGCATTAGCAAGCTGTTTTTTTAAATTTTGCTCTACAGGTAGTGTACACTTAACAATTACTTTTCATGTTTTTAACATTTATGATTTCACACTATAAATATAATTGTATAATTTTTCTCTACCATTGTAATTTTTCTGTGTATGCATGTTGATAATGTGCCTCTCTAGCATATTCATCTAATCTAAGAATACCCCATGATTATTTAACTATGCCAGTGATATTTTAGTGACTTATGCTTTTTTTGTTGATACTATAAGGAAAACTGCAGTGAAAGTTTTTGTATGTCTTCTTGCTCAAATGTATTTGCCTTTCTAGACACATACACACATATGCACGCACATACTTAGAATTTTTGGTGCTAGAGCATGCCCATCTTCAACTTTACTAAATACTGCCAAATTGCTTTCTAATACTGTTTTACATTCTCACCTGTAATACCATTATTCCCCATCACTGTCTTTGCTGCTAACATTTATTATTGACATAAACTTTGTCCTTTTAATGGATTCGAATTGATAACATTGCTGTTTTAATTTGCAGTTCTTTACTATACAACTTGCAGTTCTTTACTCGATGTGTTCCTGGGTATTTTAGTTTTCTATCCTGTGAATTTGTTATCCACAACTTTTTCCTGTTTACTTATTTCTCCGTAGATAATTCATTATGGACACTAATTCTTTAAGGATTACATAGTTTGCAAATATTTATTTTATTTACATTTTCTCTTTTTTGCTTTGGCTATGGTAACTTTTCGTTTACAGAAAAATGAAGTAAAATTTGTCAGTCTGTTCTTTTAGAGTTGGTGTTTTTGGTATCTTACGTAAGAAATATTTTCCTTTTTGGTGTCCTACTCAAGAAAATTTTCTCTACTTTTGAGTTATAAAGATCTTCTATTTTAGAAATGATGAAACTTTACCATTTTACAATTATGTCTTTAATCCACCTGAAATTTATTTTTGTTTATGATATAAGGGAGGGAACTAATTTGATTTCCTTTTTTCATAAGTTGTTCAGTACTTTTAGTGTGTAGTCCATTCCTTTCCTAATGGTTTTTAATGATACCTCTGCCATATATCAAGTTGCTATACTTGATAGGAATGTTAGGAATGTATGTTTTACATTGTTTTTGTTTTGTTTCAATAATATTAATATCTGGTGAGTTCTTTTCAACTCAGCTCCTTGAGGAACTGCCTTAGCTAGTTTTGGCATGTCTCCCTCACGTGAATTTTAGAAACAGTTCGTCAAGTTATACACAAAAAATATTGTTAGAATTTTTATTAGATTGAGTTTACAGATCAATATTAAAAGAAATATTACAGATTTACTTGTTGAGTTCTCCCAAATAACACCATAATATAATCCTCCATTTGTTGTTAGGTCTTCTACTAAAGTTCTGTGTTTTTCTCATTAATATCTTGTATTTTTACTGGGTTTATTCCTAGGTAAAATTTTTATTGTTAATAGTATCTGTTTTTAAATTATGTATTCTAATTGTTTGTTGTTTGCTGATTGCACCATTGCAAAGTTCTTTTACTTCCGATAGTATATAAATTCTCCTTCAAGACTATTATGTAGATAATCATTTTTCTAAATAATAATATGTTAACTTTTTCTTTCCAGTCTTTGTACTTTTTATTTTTCTTAATTACCGCATTAGCGAGGTCTTTCAGTACAATACTAAATAAAATGTGATAGGGATCATCCTGACTTTAAAAGGAATGCTTCTAGAGTCTTTTACCAGTGTTTGCTATAAGTTTGAAAAGATAACCCTTTTCTGATAATAAAGCTTTTATATGAGCAAGGAATTTTCTTTTTATTCCTTTATTTTTGTGAAGGTTTCTTATATTTAGTAGGCGTTGAAGTTTTTGAATTCTTTCTGTTAATATTTTTTAAGTTCTTAATTTGGTGAATTATATTTTCTAATGCATTAATTTCTGTATGTCTTTTTGAGTTAAACTCAATTTGTTCAGGATGTTATACATAAAGTATGTATAATTTATTAAATATTTTTGCATCTGTATATTTAAGTATCAGTTTATTTTCTTGAATGGTCATAAACTGTTGGCATTTTAAATTTATTAGTCAGTTTTATATTTCTAGTAAGTTTTCCCATTTGCCTGTTTTTATTGTTATTCATTTATATAAATTTACTCATTTATTGGTATAAAGTCATTAATTCTCTACTAAGATCTGTATTAATGAACCTTAAAAAATTCCGACAAATTATTATTATTTTTTACTATAGTTATGATTTTTATATTTGTTGAGTCAAATTAAGTCTTGGTACATAGATATCTGTGTTTGGAACATTTCATAAAACTCAAAAGATTTCCTTCTTTCACCCTGTCTTCTACCTTACTTAAGAATAATTAATAATTAAGAGTCCCTATCAGCGTAAGGAAGAGAGAGGTATATATTAAATGTACTTATTTGTTAGTCTTCTTTTCCCCTTCACCCCATACCCACACACATGGTATCTGAACATGCGGAAAGATTATTCATTCACCTACCTGCTTAGTCTTTCTAAGCAAAGAAATATCTCAGTCAGCTTCTGGAGCTGATAGAATTCTAGGAGTTTAAACTTGTATTTCAGGTTCTTGACATGTGGTCTGATAGCTTTTAAAAATCTCCCAGTGATATGATTTCATATTTACAGCTAAATCTACATGTGTTTTACAAAACAAAGTTGTGAAAGATGAAAAATAAATAAATAAATGAGTATCCAAGAGTTACTCTATAATGCTATAAGCCCATTTTTGTAAAGAGAAGGAAGTGGATGAATTCTGTGTGTGTGTGTGTGTGTGTGTGTGTGTGTGTACACAAACAAATGTATTTAAGTATAGAACTAGCTATACAAGGATATACACCATTTGAGAGGTTGAAACCTAAAGAAAAATATATACTGTATTTATTGATTTATTAAGAGTAGGTATTGCTCTTAGTTGGCAAATTTTTACTATAAAAGCCCAAACTATACATTTTAGGCTTTCCTGGCCACATAGTCTAAGTTACAGGTATTTAACTGGTATTGTAGCACCAGAGCAGCCATAAGATAATAAGTAAATGAGTAAGCTTGGTTATATTCCAATAAAACTTTATTTACAAAAACAGGTGGCAGGCCGGATTTGGTGCAGAAAGCTTATTTTGCCTAACTACAATATGTAAAGATTGACAGATACTAATTAGAATTAATGGGAAGTTTTAATATAATACCAGATATTTTCTCATAAATATGCTATGCTGGTCTTACTACTTTTAGAAATTAGTGAAAATCTATTACTGCAAACTGATCTATGTAATCTTCATATTAAAATTAATCACATACATAGAAATAGATGTATACATGCAATAAAGGCATTCAGATTTGTACTTCATATTGAGTTTTACCATTGATAGGTAATGGTCATAGAAGAGTTATTTAACATAAAGAGCCAAAAAAATCATTTTGAAATATTGTTGTTTAATTTAATGATTTAAATGAAACTTTGGAAATTGTGTGCTGTGAATTTATACACTTCATTTTCATAGACTAAAAATCCGGAATTAGTTGATGACAAAAGATAAACTGAAAAAATGATTATACGAAATTTTTTAGAGTAGTTGAGGCTTATGATATCTTAGAATAATTTAGTTGTTCATGATTTTGTTGAAATCTAAACAGTAATGTTTTGTAAGTAGATAAGAAACAATGGATTCCATGCAATTATCATTTGCCTCTTTTGTAGTTTAAAGTATGCCCTTTTATTTCTTCTTCTTTATCCTTTGCCTCATCTAGTTCTAGAAGTTGCAGTACTCAGTACAGAAGGACAGGTCCAAGACTTTAAATTTCCTTTGGGCATCAAAGGAGCAGGCAGCTCTATCCAACTCTCTGCAAATACTGTCAAACAGAA